CAGGTGTACATTCTTGAACATTGGTGCTATTTTCTATGGTTCACATTCTTGAAAGGGAGTTTATTTCTAACACATCAGTCTATTACACAACTTCCATATATTTAATCCTCGTGTATATTTTCAGGGATGCCGTAGGGGGCTGCCTGTATTATTCAACCTCTCTGGGCCTCAGTTTTCCCATCTATAAAATGGGACAGGCTACAGTGGCTTCATAATAGGAAAGGTATAAGGATCGAGTGACTCATGCATGTTAGAGAAATTGGGAGAGTGCTTGCCAAACATGGAGCATCCACAAATACCAGCTATTCTTTCTTTATTCACTGCCGGACACCAATTTTATTCCTTCAGCGTCTTCCATCATTTTGATACCTGTCCCCCTGTAAGCCCTTTCCACGCTCAGGCCTCTTTTCCTACCTGCCTGCATCCCTCCAAGCCTTGCTTGCACACAGTAGGTGACTAAGACCTGCTTATTGAATAAATACCGAGTGTAACAGGCCCAGGAATGCTCATCTATAGAGTGAAACCATAAAAGCCACAGCATGAGTGATGGGACATTTCACCGAGGCTCTGGGGGTTGCTGGAACGGCCCAGCTTGGCCACGGCCCAGCTGCCAGCTTCTCCCTTCCAGCTGCGTGAAGCGTGGTGGGGGCTCTCCGACACGAGGCCTGGCAGGAGTTCCAATGTGATCCTGCTCCGGGCTTGGGAAGCCCTGGAATGAATGGAGCCGAAGGGAAAACTGAAGCTGGGTTGGGTGAGCGTCCGTCAGCCCCGCTGGCCGCCGAGGGCTTTGGGAGGGCTACGCATTTTCCTCTGGGTGCCTGGCTGGGGAAGGAAAGAAAAGAAAAGCAAGACTCTCAGTGGATGTGGGAAGTTTTGTGGTTTGGTCCAAAATCAGAGCCAAAAGTGGGAACGAATCTCGTGTCCAATGGCCAAAAAGTTAGACTTTCTAAAATAAAAACTCTCATTTGTCAGTGGCTTGGTGAGCAGAGAGTTTCCTGGTGCCGGGGGACCGGGGAGAGGAGCGCTTTCGAATCTCGCCAGGTGGCTGGGTTTCAGGGGCTCTAGCAGGAGCACTTATGCCCTAAAGATAACCAGGCAATTAGAGAAAGGGAGGGCGCAGCACGAGACATCCACCCGAGATCCTAAGAAAAACCATCTGGCTCGGGCAGTGCGTGGCAGTTAGGGCTGGTGGTGAAACAGACCCCCGCAAACACAGCGACGTGAACAACCACCTTTTAGGGTTCTGTGGGCCAGCAAATTGCACTGGGCTCCACCGGGCCATTCTTCCCTCGGGATGGTTCTCTGTGCCTCTGCGGTCAGCGGCAGGTTGGCCGGAGGCTGGCTGGCGAGGAGCTGGGCAGTGGGGACCGTGGGGCACTTATTTGTCATTATCTAGCTGACTAGCCTAGGATCACTCAGGTTGTGGTGGGAGGATTCTGAGAACGAGAGTGAGAGCGAGAGCCACCTATTCTCGGAACTGGAGTACAGTTGCTTCTGCCACATGTTACTGGCTAAAGCAGCTCACACTCAGCAAAACACATTCCACTCTTGAGGAAAGCAGCTGCCCAGGCCCATTGCAAAGGAGGCATGGCTACGGGGGCGAGTGAAATTGGGGGCCCTTTTACAGACCAGCACACAATGGGAGGGAGTGTTGGCCAACCAGCGGCATCGGGGAATGAAGCCGACGAGGAAACTGCGAGCTGAGAACGAGCAGGCTGAGGCCTCGAGAGCGGGGCCCTTTGTTCCCTGGCTGCTGCTGGGAGCAGAGGCTGTTGGCAGGAGGCTGGGTGACAGGCCTGTGTGTGTGGAGTGGAGAATGGGGTGAGGGTTGGATCCTGACCCGCTGCTGACTAGCCATGGGGCCTTGCGGGGGAGGAGCCCTCAGTGAGTCCATCTTAGCCTCAGCTTTCCCATCTGTAAAGTGGGATCACAGTTTCTCCCTCATAGGTTCCAAAGAGGATGGAAGGGGCAATTGGTCTGGCATGTGGGAGGCATTGGAAAAGCAGCTGCAAGGATGAGTCCCCTATATCATCCCTCAGGTAGCAAATACCAGGACCTATGATGAAAGATAATGAATAATAATGAACAGTTGGAAGCTCTCCCTAGCAACCGAGCCTGGACTTCCTCTCCCTGGGAGGCAGAGTGGCACCCCAGGCTGAGACCGGGAAAGGCTGCCACCTCCGTGACCCAATATGGCCAGCAGATCCGGGCTCTGGCCCCGTCAGGCCTCCAGCCCAGATGCCTCCCAGGGCTCTGTGGGGTTCCTCACCAGGCATCCCAGCGAGTGCCCACGGAGGCCTGGGCAGCACACTCGGCCCCGGGCCTGGCCTTGGCTTTGCAGGCGAGGGACAGGGAGGAGAGGTCTGGCCGAGGAAGGCAAGGCAGACTCTTCGTGGGCTCAGGGGATCCTCTCTGGCTTTGCCCTTGGATGCCCTCCCCCACCTGCCCAGTGTTCCTGGGCAGGGACAGAGCAGGACAGAGAGCGGAGTGGCAGCCACTAGCCACATGGGGCTACTGAGCACCTGAAATGTAATGAGTGTAACCAGGACACGGGATCTTTTGTTGTGGTCAGTTGCTTATAGAGCCACCTGTGGCTCGAGATGACCCTACTGGACACTGCACTTCCAGGTGGGTGAGCATCTGAGGGACAGGGCTGTGAGGATGCTGAGCACACGGCCCACGGGCCTGAGTGGGTTGGGGACACTGTCTTGGAGCTGTCGGGGGGCCCGGTGAGGGTCTGCGTGTGGGTCGGCGGAGCAGCTGGGCCTTGGTCGAGCCTCCACGGTTGTTGTCTGGTTCCTCCCTATTTCCAGGTGGGGCTGGGAAAAGAGGAAAGCTTAGGACTATGAGAAAGTCTGGAATCCAGCATAATTTAGCCTCTGCCCCCTGGCTCTGTTCTCGTAGCTTCTAGAAAGGCCACGGCTCCGTGTGCTCCCCCATCCTTTGTTGCGTCAGTGAAGGCCGGGGCACAGCTGTCCAATTCGGGAGGAAGGGGGAGACCTCACAAGGAGAGAAGGGGACTCCCCCATTTGGCTGGTCGCTTTAGAACCGAAGGGATCACGTGGTCCAATGTGGCTTTTGAGGATACACCCACAAACACACCCATGCACACACACACCCACAAACACATCCATGCACACACACACACAAACACATCCATTCACACACACCCACAAACACATCCATGCACACACCCCCACCAACACATCCATGCACACACACACCCCCACAAACACATCCATGCACACACACCCACAAACACACACATACACGCATGAACACATATGTACACACACAGTTTTCTCGTGAAGCAGGTTACTTTGGGGGACTTGGGGCAAGAGGCGATGGCGCTTCTGTTTGAGTTGGGTTCCGAGAGGTTCTGAGAGATGACACCCTTGTGCCTCAGGGTCTGCCCTGCGCCTCACCCTGGGATTGAACCCCTAGTCCAGTGGTTCTCAACCTCCTGGCCCTTTAAATACAGCTCTTCATGTTGTGACCCAACCATAAAATTATTTTTGTTGCTACTTCATCACTGTAACGTTGCTACTGTTATGAATCGTCATGTAAATATCTGATATGCAGGATGGTCTTAGGCGACCCCTGTGAAAGGGTCGTTCGACCGCCAAAGGGGTCGCGACCCACAGGTTGAGAACCTCTGCTAGTCACAGCAGAATGCCGCTTGTGGAACTGATGCTGGATTTTGCCTAGAGATTTTTTTTCCTAATTACCTTTCAACTCCGGCCGCAATAAATGGCCCACACCAATCCCAGTCTTTGTCTGAAAGCGGCTGAGAAAGGCTGCTCTCTGCCCACCTCCCAGTCTCTCCGTCCCCTGCTATTTCCTAACGTCGGGAAGACAGCAGGCAAACGTCCGTGTCCTTTAAAGCATAGACTCTTTCTGGACCCTTCCGTTGATTGACCGCCGTGGGTCCCAGCGGCTCCTGCACGGGCTCTCTGCAGAGGCAGGGGCGAGATTAGCTTTCCGCTCTTGCCGTAATTTACAAGGCTCACATAACCATGTAACGACTTGGTGATTACATGGCCAATATCGTATAAATACATAGTAATTACAAGTTCATGCAGATTACTTGCTATATACATTTGAAGTTACCGAGTAGTTCAAAGATTAATTATCCTGTAACTGGCAGTATTTAAATCACTTTTTTTCCCTCGTACAGGAATACGTCGAGGCCGACTTCAAGGCTGGAGACGATGGGGATGTGATGAGTAAGATCTGAAAAGAAAAAATGAAATCTGACAGGCATGGATTATTTAAAGCGCGCATATGTGAGCCCAGCAGCCACTGCACTTTGATGCAAATCGTAGGGGAAAGAGCCGGGGGATGGTGTG